CCCCCCCCAGTGGCCTCTTCGTTGGCCATCCGCCACTGGGGAGGGGGATGGCCCCCTGCGAATAAGAGTTGGTTGTAAAATGCAAACAGGTGAAAGAGGTGGCGGTGGAGAACCCTTTGCCCAGGGGGTGACACATACACACACACACCACAGTCAAACAGCACGTGTCCGCATGGGCATTTGGTTTGCCATGTGCTCCACTTTAGGGTGTTCACATGCGCTCCGTGACCACCCAGCCATCGCGTCAGCCGATTGGCTCAATTTTGATGACTCCATGTCATGTCGCCCAAGCAGTGGATCAGTGATCAGTTGCTTTGATGGGCGCATGGATGCCTGAGCGGGCTTCCGCTTGAAAGTTTATAGAAACGCCTCTACGAACCAGTCATGCCAAGGCTTTCAGTTGGGGTTTGCTAGACAGTGCCGATGGGTTTGGCCCATTCGATCTAGCTTCGGGGGACCCCCAAAATCATGCCGACGGATTGGAGCAACCAACTCCCTCAAAGACGAGGCACGGTGAAAAGACAGGTCCGATCCGATGTACCTATACTCATATACCGTTTTCGAGGGCGTTTTGTTGGTGGGGACTTTGGCTACAGGAGCACTCCGATGCATCTCTTTTGTTTCGCCCCAGCTGCGCCCCATCGCCCTCAAACGGGGCCAACACCACACCCCCTGCTGCGCCGCGATGCGGGGCAAAGTGGTGAACCGATGGATGGCTGCGCGCGTTGGAGCGGAATCCCCGCGCTGCTGCTGAATGCCTCGCAGCCGATCCCCTCGCCGTTGCTGCGGAATGAGTGCCGCTCGCCCACGGGAGGAGCGTTCGGAAGGGCTCGCTTGAGGAGGTGTACGAGCGCCACTGCTTTGGGGGGACCAGCTCGGAGCTCGGAACGTGGAGGTTCCGTGCCACCACGCAGAACCATCGATCTCCACGCGTTCGGACTCCGAGCGTTTTGGGCTGCTCGGGTTCGCACCCAGCCAGGCTGCTCGGGGTTCGACCGAGGCCATCGCTGTGGGTCGGACTTCGAACACATGGAGGCGGCTGGACACGCACGCCGAGTTCACGAAGGGTCTAGGGAACCGTCCGACGTCGGGTCGCAGCGGGGGGGGGGGGAGAGGGGGGAAGGCACGGAGTGAAAAGAAGCGGACGACCTGACGAGTTGGCCCACCGAGAATCAGGGTGAGTGAAGGGGGCTCCCAAAGCCCATGCGACAGCTCTGTTGCCTATATCACTAGGCATCACTAGGCTAGCTCTGACGTGAACGTGCCAATCCCCCTGCTCTCCACTTAAATCGTCTCTTACACGCACATATTCACGCACACCACCAGTCCAACTTTGTTGCACCAGCCAAGGGTTGGTGGCAGACCGTGCTTGCAAGTGTGGCACAAATCCTTGAAGGACTTCTATTGCATAGTCCACTGACATGTTTTTTCTCTCCACAGCTCTTGACAGGTGCCATGGCACCATCCAACTGCGAGCTGCTTGCGGCAGGCGGTCGGCAGTCGTGTTTTTGCAGGTTGGGGATTGAACATGCTGCCAAAGGACTCGTTGTGTTTGGGTGTGGTGTTTGGGAGGTCGTCTCCTTCAAGAGCTCAAAGATATCGATGATTTACGGGTAAAAGCATGACGAGCCAACCGGCGGGTGAACCTGCAAAGTTGGATTTGAGCCAACCTTTTCCCTCTTTGGCCCTACTGTGGCCCTCAGGGCGGTGTCCAACTGCTCCTTGCTCCAAGAATTATGCGGCACGCGGCCGTTGTTCCGGCGTACTTCGCACGTCTTCCTTGCCACAGGACTTGGGTCCCGCTTGAGGACAAATCAAGCTCGAATCAATCCTGCTTCAGGGGGGTGAACATCGAATTCTCAGGTGCATTCAGGTGCCAGCTTTCGGGGGGGTCTCAGCACCTCACGGGGACGTCGCACCAACTCGGAGCAGCGCTGCCCCCCAGCAGCTTTGCGCTCCGCTCGGCTCGGCTCGGAGCAGCCGGAGGCGTCTGGGCGGCAGCCGGCCGTGGCGCTGGATGCGAGCTTGAGCCTGCAGGGCATCAACAGTGGCAGCAGCCGTCCCTCAGTTCGCTGGTTCGGTGTGACCCGTGTGGGACCCGCAGTGGGACCGTTGTCAGTGGTTTCTGCACCCCCCCAAAAAGGGACGTTTTCCATCCTTCCGCGGAGGGTCGCTCTCATGGGAGTCGGAGGTGTGGTTGCACATCATTGGCCAGTCCCTGGTCGAGCAGTTTTCTCAAGCGTGTGACGCTTCGTAGAACCTGTTACTACCTCTCGCACATCGGTCCAAGTCGATGTCATGCCGGACACTCTGGTCCGAACATGGGGTTCTTAGAACATATTACAAGTTTGATTCAAGTTTGCCTATCTCTTTGTGGATCAGGAACTCCAAGAATTCCAGAGAGGGTCTGGGTGCTTCTCGGGCTTGAATGCATCTTCTTCCCCTATAGGAGGCCTTAGGCACCTCCCCCGGTCACCTTTCAAGCCTCAGCGAGCGACAGAGGCTACGAGGTCGTGCAGTTCATCGCCGCGTGCGAGGGCCGGCGCCTCTTCTGGGCCGCTGGGCGGGAGCGGGCCGCGGGTTTGAAAGCAGAGGGCGAAGCAGAGGAGATATGGATGTCCATTGGCACTGGCGATCTGCAATCACCTGGGGTTGTCATGAGGATCAATGCATGTCATCCGAATAGTGTCCACGAGAGGTATACCACCAGCGAACCAAGTACTACGTCGTAGGTTGTGCCGCTCCCTCGCCTCGCCTGGGCCCTCTCGCTCGCGCACGCAGAACACGAGCACCGCACGCCGCACGATGCCCCGGCGCGCCGAACCGAGGCGCTGCTGATGAACAAGGTGACGGTGGGCGCTCGGCGGCTTGGGGAGAACCGCCGCGCGGCAGGGACGGTGGAGCGGCGGGACGGCAGGGGGGGTGCGGATGGGCATGGCATGTGGCCGGGGGCCGGGTGGAGTGGGAGTTGGGGTGCGGTGCGCGGTGAATGCTATAGGGACCACGTACTTATTGTATACCTCAGGTACCTGGGTTTGGGGTTTTGGGTCCCGTAGCTGGGAGGGTGTTGTAACACGATCTGTAGCACCCAAGGGCAGCCATTTGGTGACTCTTGAATCAAACACCCCCAGAGTCTAGGAGCGTTTCCAACCCCAAACCTCTTGGAGGAGCATTTGATGAATCCAACCTCCCCCACAAGGGTCCCGTGAAGTGAAAAGTGTCTTCTTGACACCGGCCTGTTACAGGCAAGGCCTGCTACAGGCCGCAAAAGAGCATTTGTTCATGGAGTACAGTAGAGTGTTTTTGGTGGTCACCAATATAGATGTTTGGCACGTCACGGTGTCAGGTTTCAAAAACATTTTCTTTTTGTGGGGATCTACTTCTCGTTACTTTTCTAGTTTTTGGGGGTCTGCATTACTCATAGGATTTGTACTGTAACTGCAATGAGTGATGGACCATGGAAACTCTGGCTCGTTTATGGTGTCAACAGCTCAAGACCAACCGCCGGTTCCACCCGCCGAGGCCATGCCATGCTGCTGTGTGTGCCGCGAACCTGTGACGAGACCGCCGCCGTCGCCCGAAGTGGGAGTTGCAGGGGGGTGACACCTGCGAACTTTGGGCTCTGAATGTCTTACTGGAAGGTGGAAGGCCGAGCATCCCTTCTCTCCAAACAGGGTTGGGTGGATGTCCTGGGGGTTCCTTCAAGGTTCGCGTCAGAAGGTTTTGTTCAAGAGGGAGGGCCTGGGATTCACAGGCAGGTCCCGGGATTTGACCTAAGGCTTCAAGGACTCCTTCCGTTTCAGTCGCTGGCACGGTTTGACCAGCGCCGGCCCCTCGACGGCTTCGAAGCATCTTCCGGGGGATCGGAGCCCTCTCAGGCCTACTGGTTGGCCCCTGCCTTTATCGAGACCGAGACCTTCGAAGGAGCCTTTGTTCATTTCTCTCAGCAGGGCAGAGTTGTGGGTGAACTTACAGGCCTGCTTCCATAGAAGATCATAGAAGTCATACCAGATTCTTCCCCATCGTCAGAAGTTCCATGAAGTTCCACCTCAAGACTGACTATTCTCTTTTGTAGTTTTGTTCTTCGTTGACATCCTTCATGGACGCCGTATCTTTTGCCTCCATCCCCATCTTGGGGGACACCGGAAGTAGAGGATCTCTTAAATTGGGGTGGGTATGAGGGCCATCCCATTTTCCACGCCTTCTTTCCAGCGAACATGCACGGTTGAGAGGCTCCAGGCAGATACAAACAATGGTCCTGATCTTCCATTTTCTTTTGTGTTTTGCACCTGCAAGGGTCGGTGCTCCTTTCTTGCAGAGTGCTGATGATTGCAGGTACTCGACTTTTCGTCTCCAACCCTTCTCCCCCCCCCCAAAAAATAAACATATAATTAGTCTGTCAACCAAAGGGGCCTTCATTCATGGGGACCAACTGATGAATTACTGGTGCGCTTCCTCAAATCAGCTATGGAGAACCTGTCAACCAACAGAAATGACCTTCATTCAGAGTCATTGCCCCAGTTGCCCGGCGCAGCCACGTCCTCAGGCGTGGCGCAGACCCAGTCGCCGCTGTGGCGTCGCTCCTGCGAGCGCCCGGACCACGTGGTGCTGGCACCGCGGATGGCCGTCAAGGCTGAGGCGCGCGTGCCACGCGCGAGCGTCCGCGGGGAGGGGGGCAGGCGGCGTTGGGGGGGTCCTTTCCCGTCCGCGGGGGCTTGGGACTCGGGACCTTCCACTGATATTTTTTTAAAGGCACTCCGCAAGATGCAGCATTTTTTTCGATGAGGCACGATCTGCGTAACGGAAAGAATGAAAGAGGTTGGTGGTTTGGAAGGGTTGTGACTCCTGGTCTCAATGATGCTTGGTTCTGGGAAGGTGTTTGGATACGGCAAAACCTGGGAACCAAACAGTGCTCCAGTGCTGGATGCACTGGGCGAACCCCTTGGGGAAGTCAGGAGTGATGAGTGATGGAAAGAACGTGAAATGAACAACAGTCACCCAAGCATTCTTGAAGTCGCTGATGTGACTTGTTTCAAGAACTCCTTCCTCACGAGCTTGCTCAGGAGGAGGGGGAGTTTGCTAAGATCGTTTTGGAGTGACTCGATCGCAAGCGCCGGAAGGGGTGCTTTGGACGGTGGAAGCTCCACGCCATCCCACCATCCTTTGTTACATAGCTGAATTCGAGAGTCACCGAGGTTGAATTCGCCCCATGGCCGAGAAAAGAAAGACCTGCTTTGGCCATGTACTCCCCTCCCCCTCCCTGGCGTCTAGACTCCAGGACCATTTGGGTCTCTCTCCATCCCTCCGAGCCCTTGGGCGGCTCCCGAGGTCGGGCGAGCGGCCCCCGTGGACGCTGTGGTCCAAGGAGCTGCGCGGCGCGCCGCTGGTCTACGCGCTGCTGCCCCAGCCGTTGGCGCCGGTCCGCCGGGGCGCCCGCGGCCAGACGGGCGCGGGCGGCGCGGGTGCGGCCGTGGCTGGGCGGATCGGATTGGGAAGGCGTTGGCGTCGCACCTCCAAGGACATGCTTTGGCCGCCAGACATTTGGGTGCTGGGGCGGAGACGGTTGAAACCCGGAGCGGGCGGGGGAGACCCGACCCCCATGTCTGCTGGGTTTCTCACCCATCCCGCCAGCGCGGGAGGGGCCGAGGTGCTCTTCGCCGGCGATTGGCGCGTGGAAGAGCGCTCTTTGGCCTCCATCGCGCGGCACCTGGTCCACCCGCTGAAGGCCACGGTGTTGGCCGTGCTCAGCGCCTCCCCGCGTGGTTCGGATCACGAAGTGAACCGCACGCGGGGGTCGAAGGCTGCACGGGCGGTGCAAGCCAAGGGAGTGCTGAAGCGCTTCTTTCCTGCCCTGGCAGGCAGGGGAGGGAGGAGGGAAGTCGCGGGAGGCTTAGATGGCACACTTGGAGGGCGTAGGGTGGGTTCAAATTCACCTCGGTCAAGGCTGGTTCTGATTCTGTCGGGTTGGACCTGTGCTCCAGGCGTCCGCTGGGTGGAGGACCTCTCCACTGAGGCCTGGCTGGGTGCTGCGCGCCATGGGGCACCAAAAGCCCTGTGGGTCATGGGGGCCATAGGGGGCTTCAGGGGCCGTGGTGGTTGGAAAGGAGCCACGTTTGTCCTTTTTCGAACGATGCAGCTTTGGTGAGGTGAGGAATGGACGTGGGGTGTGCCAGGTCCAAAGCTAACAGAGCCCTAGACGACTGCATTCTGGATGGGAATTCCATCGATCCAAGTACCTATATACATGATGGGGCTTTACGCAGGAACTGCTAGTACATTGTTCCTCACCACCCAACGCCCACCTTAAAGCAATAGGATGTCCAGTGTGTCTGCGCATCCGAGCCAGGCTCGGAAGTTAGCGCGGCAACTCCTTGGCAACAGTAGAATTAAGATGAATTACCTAAGATGCAGATGTGTGGGCATACCAGGAGTCACATGTCGGGGTGGTTAATAGACACCCCTTAACCTCTAGAGGAGCCTTAGGGGCCCTCTTAACGTTTCACCTCAAAGCCACCGGACACAGCGCGAGCGAGCTCTAGTAGTATTGCAAAGCAACCGATCCTCTTCGCACTGATCAATCAAATGATGACGCACTTGCCTGCCTACTTACTTGCCTTTGCAAATTGTTCCTCTATACATATTTGCACATTTGTCTATGCTACTGCGTCCCCATGCGCTAATCTGGTCATTGTAGAGGAACACCCCTCCGTTTCTTGATACTGCGTCATATCACCCAGCTCCATGAGTGATGAGCCTCTAATTCTCCTTCCTTCTCCAATTCTTTCAGCCCAAAACACCTTAGGATGTCTAGCTTTCCCAGCACCCGGGCCCCCCCCCACTTCGATGCCCAGCAGGCCTTGCGGTCGCTGGTGGCGCCCAAGGCCCTGGCGCTCTACGAGACCCTGGGCGGCGGCGCCGTGGCGCCGCTGCGGCGCAGCGCGCTGGGGGGGCAGCTGCACTCACTGCGGAAGATGCAGCTGGCCTGGCGGATGGTGGAGTGCTACGAAGCTCAGCGACGAAGCTAAGCGAAGTGGAACGAAAGCGGCGCAAAAAATTGTGACGGATGGGGAGGGGAGGGGTGGGACCAGCGAGATGGCTACAGGGGACAGATGCGAGATGGATGGCTCAGTGGATTCCATAGATAGGCAGGTAAGGAAGGGAGGGGTTGAGATCGACAGACGGATGGACAGATGCAGTATAAATGCAAGACATAGGTGGATGGACATTCTGATAGCCTGGCTGGAGACTTCGCCGTTGCTGCGTTGATCTGCGTTGCGACATTGCGACACGACCAAAGGTGTGTGGCATACACACGGGCTCACTAACATGGAAGTGGACAAATGATCACCTGGAAGACGAATTTCCTCTAGAGACAAGTGTTTTAAATTTCCATCTTCGGTGAGTTGGAGAGTTCTACAGCTCGGTCCTCGAGCGTCGGTGGAAGTGGTTGTTGTACCTCAGATGTTCCTCAGTGGAGCTCTGTTCTTTTTGCCGAAACGCAGTTTATCATGGGAACGCCTTTCGTTTTGGTTCGCATGAGGGAACCACAAGGACACTCACCAAACCCCACCTGTTTAATCTTCGATCTCGGGGCCCTGCCACCCATTGCCACCCCAACCGCCTTCCGCGTGACCAAACTGGGCTGGGCTGCTCCCCCACTGGGCTGCTCGGCCCAAGGAGCGGAAGCGGAAGCGGCGCTTCAAGTGGTTGCTGTATAGCCGTTTGGACTTGACACCCGGTGATGCGCTTCAGCGGTGGGAGGCCACGGATGGCTTCGGAGGATGGAAGATTCGGTCCATGTTCTTGTAGGTCCCTGCGGCCTAGGGCCACAGAATGCTAAAGACAGACGAACCAGCCCCAAATCATCTGTGAATGTTTATACTTGGATATACTTGGTGGTTCTGTTTCTTGAGGTTGGTGCCCTTACTCTTGAGGAGACTGCTTGCCCCCAATTCACACAAAGAACGACGACAAGGACCATCCTCAGAAAAATAGATGCATTTATATTATACTTACTTCGCGGCTCGATGTTTTCCTACCTCACATCACTCGAAATTTTGCGTCGAAACTGTAGAGATTGCCTTGAAGATGTTTCTCATGCCAATCCATTTCTTCTTCTTCTTCTTCTTCTTCTTATTCGTTCTCATGCCCCCATCTGGCCTTGAGGGTTCCCTTCCTCTCTTCACCCTTCCCCAACCCAGGATCTGGGTGGCGGATCACCCGCCCCTGCGGCTCTTCGAGCCGCCGGACGCGGTCTGGACGGTGCCGCTGGCCGGGGCGCAGGAGGTGAAGGAGAACAGGGCGGGTTGAGAGAGCGATCGTGGCCTTTACCGAACGGGGGGGCTCTTGGCCTTACGAACCGTTCGCGACCGGACGCTAGGTTGGTGGAGAGAGATTCAGTACACCGGTTGAGAGAGGTTGAGAGGCCAAGTTCGGACCTCTTTTTCATGGTCTTGGTATACATGATCGGCCATTTTGGAGGCTTGAAGAAGCTGCCTCCACGTCTCTATAGGAGGGTGCTGGGCAACTGGCCAGATGCGAACGGTGAAACAAGCTTGCGAAGTCGCTTTCAAAGCAAAGAAACAGATGCAAAAGCAAAGAAAAAGACACACACACACACAAGTGGGCGGACACCGTGCATGGTTTGTTCCGCCCACTTGTGGCCAAAACTGCCAACATCATCTTCCCAAGTCAGGGCGCACTTTGGCCGTTCCGGATGCCCGGACCGGATGAATTCCCAGGGCCGAGAGTCTATTACCAGGGCCCCTAGACGGTGAATTGACCGCCCTAAGGAGGCTATGAAGACACCCCTTGAGGTCCGACCAGCCGAGCGAACGACACGACGCGGAGGAGACGATCTTCGCCGCGAACGACTGGCACGGCCTCGTGCCGCGCGCTTCGCGCTTCGTGGCGGCCTACTTCGGGCGCTGGGCCCTGCTGCGGAAGGGGCTGCCATGGCAGCCGCTCCTCGAGCCCGAGGAGTGGGGGTGGAGAAGGGAGTCCAAGTTCAAGTTTAGATGCGTTAAGGGTGTTGGAATTTCCCCACGGATGGTCAATGGTTTGAGATGACATCATGAGTCATGGGGGTCCGGGTGCTTCTCACCACTCTTGACTGGGTGGTTGGAAGACCCTGGTGGTTGGAAGCTTAGAACAGCATTGACAGTCCTGGGTTGCATCGTTCCATTCGGACCGTGCCACTTCGCTTTTGCACGTTCTGACAGGAGCTTTTGGCATCCGTTTGCCACTGGCTGACGCTTGGAACGCACTCTTCCCGTGTACTCCTGGGAGGTACGACGCGCACATCCCATGGAAGTGGACAATGGAATGCGACCTATTTACTATGACCGAATTCCATCGACGTCCATTCCAATGGCAGGGGTGGGCCATGCGGCGAACCAGTCGGAACGTCACTGATTGAGCCCAGGAGTCACATGGAGTGCCGTTCGCTGAGGCTAGGGATCGGGGTGCCCCTGTTCACATCCACTCGGATGGGACGAACAGCCACCCCGACCTGTGACTGGTCAATCGTCTTTGGGTTGTTGAGACCGTTGAGACCTGCGTTGCATCCCCAAGTCCGCGCTCGTATCGGGGAGACCCGCGTGAAACCTGTCGTTGTCGTTGCACCAAGCGTCGTTTCACGAGGTCCAATTGACTGGGGTGCGGTTGGAGCTTGAAACCGTTGGATATGGGACGCTCCTTTCACTCTAAGAGCTAGGGCTACTTACCCTTACAGACAGCGCAGGACAGGCCATGCAAACAGCGCAGGACAGGGTCCCTGGTCAGACGGGCTCCATGGTACCGAGGCGGATCCCGCTGGGACTCTTCGACGCGACCTTCTCGCTCGCTAGCTGTCGCCGCTGGACCTGTGCCTGGGCGATGGGTCCTTTGCGATGGGAAGGGGTGGGAAGGGGGAGGCCCAGCAGTTTTTCACCTGGGATCTTGACAGAAATGAACTTGTTGACCGATGTTGGTGAGTCTCACAAGGTTTCATTGATGCCAGCAGTTTGCTGTCACTTACGGAGTTCCTTTGTTCAATCTTCGTTTTCTTGGCGGTTCCGGGCCACCGCCGAGGCCAGTTCGCGCGCTTCGCGTGGAAGCGCTCGCGCTGGCGCTTCCCGCAGCACGTGGCGCCGCTCCGCGCGGCGGCGGCCGCGGTGCGCGGGTCGGGTTACGCGTGGGCGCGCGCGGCCGAGCGGCGCGTGGCCATCGAAGAAAAGAGGGTCCGGGGGTGTCTGGGGGGGGGGGGGGGGGGGGCGGTGCGGTGCGGGGAGGGTATGTCTGATTTTTGCCTCTCTGCTTTATCAAAGTCTGAGGTGGCCGCTAGTAAGTATCAATTGGACCTCCTGACTGCATCTCCAACAGGTCTTGGGCAAGTTCGTTTTAGCATGTCGGCATCTGCACCCACAGGCCTTTTTCGCAGTCCGCCGAGGCCTGAACCGCCGGGCTCATGAGAGGAAGGTGCGGGCGCGGTCGAGAACAGCCTCAAACGACCCACGAATCGCGGAGGCCTGCAGATCTCCAAGTTCAGGCGAGCCTCGAGAGGTGCTTCTTTTTGACCAAGGGACCATATCGACCAGTCCGGTTCTTGCACTTGATGTCCGGTCCTTCGTCCAAAGAGGTGGTTCTTAGAGTCCAACGGCCTCCGCCATCGAATTCTGTGGACTCGTTTCACCCTCTCCCGGTGGGAGCGAGACGGCCGTCGGGTGGATGAGAAGTCAAGGCCTATGACGTGTGAAGCCAAGAAGCCAAGTTCAATGAGGCCAAGTTCGCCCACAACAAAACATGAATGAACGTGGTGAGATTTGGTAGAAGTATAGGAGCAAGGACGCTACTAGGGGCTCCTGGCCGTACGGCCAAAGGAGCAAGTAGCTACTATAGGGCTTTTTCCCACAGATCTTGAGCTCCGCTTCACCTCCGGCCGGGCGAGCGCGGACCGCGCCGCTCGCACCGCTCCCCCCCGAACGGGGCCCACCGCGGAGCCGGAAAAAGAGGCCGCCCGAGCCGTTGGGGTGGCTGAAACAGCCCGGGTAGTATAGTATAGACTAGCGTTGCATAGCCTAGCATAGCATAGCATAGTTATAGACTATGGACTATAGACATGCAAATCGATGGAGTTAGGTTATGAATTGGGTCGGGTAGTTGAACGGAACATTTGAGTTGGGTTCGATGCCGACGAATTCCATGGCGTCTCATAGGTCTTGCGTAGCCCCGATCTGAATCACGGGAATTGGAATTTGCCAGGCCGCGGGGGTTGGCCCGGGGTTGGCCACATTAGTTTGCCCATCGCCTTTGGCCCAGGGCTTCCAACCCAGCACTTCAGCCTTGTTGTCTGGATCCCTTGGTCTGAGGAGCCCCTAGTAGCTTCTTGCTCCTAGTAGTAAGGCCAGGAGCCCCTAGTAGCTTCTTGTTCCTAATGCCTCATGGTCTTGGACTTGGATTTCACTTCCATTGAGTTATTGATACTGGGACAGGCATGAAAGGAACTGTGCACATACAGCGGTTTCAGAGTAGACGGCACACAGCGACACAGGTCTTTCTACACTCCCGAAAACTAACATGGACCCTGAGAATGGCACCCTCAAAGACTGTTTTCCTCTACAAACCCGTGGTTTTCAGGGTCGATGTTAGTGTTCAGTGGGGTAGATGGGGGGTCCATATTAACAACCTTTTTGAGGATTGTGCCATCTACTCGCCATCCACCATAATCCTCTTTTGGAGGCAACCGAGGAAGTGATTGCCTTCGCCTCCAGCTTCTGTGGGCTCAGCAGTGCGGCTGGAAAGCTGCAGGACCATTCTTCCATGATGGGCCAGGTGCAGAGAATCTGAGCTGCTTTTTGTTTCACCCAAGGGTTTTATGAAAGTGCTTCAACGTATTGGCGTGGACGTCCGGTGTGTTTCTTCGAGCAAGAGGTGTTCAGCTCAGCCCGAAAACGCCATGAGGGGTTCCTCAATGGTCTTCAGGAGTTAAGAATGACCGTTGCAGACCACAAGCCGGTCGAAAACCGGTCGATCACTACTTGGCTTCGCTTAGTGTAGAATCGCCTGGGCTCTGGGGACGGGGACGGCTGCGGCACCATGGGCTGATGCGCCGCTTGGTGAGAACCCGGGTGGGAGGTCGACAGGTCGCCGTTTTTCTTCCCTCCGTGGCTCCGGAGGGGCCGCTTTGACCTCAAAGATGTATTCAATGGTTGATTCAAAATTCATTAACTGATTAAAAACAGGGTTTTGGTGAAATACATGGTGGTTTTCAGGGTTGCCGTCCGCCATCACACACCAGGGACGGTCCGGCTGCAGAAGCCGATGTACAGGTGGCGATGGCAGAATCCCAGTTTGCTTGGACCCCCATTCTGTTGAGATCTTGGGTGCCGTTTTGTTTCCTCTTGGGGTCCATCTGACCGGGTCGCAGTGGGTGGTTCGATGAAAGTCCAGGGAGCGTCAGGGGGTCCGCCGTTCGCGGCCGTCCCTGAGGCTTCGATGGCCGTCGCTGAGCTGCGCTTTGTGGGGGGGCCCCGCTGCGCTTGGTGCGAGGGCTTGAGCTGCAGAAAGGGTGGTGAGTCACTTAGTCACTTAGTCAGGAAAAGATGAACAACTGATAAGCAGGAAAACAATCTCGTAGATGTTAAATACCCAAGTCACTTAGTTCGGAAAACAATCTGGGTAGACAAGCAGAAACATGTATAGATCATGTAGAACAGTCTCGCCTTCTGGTGCTTAGTCCGTTTCTGTTTCGATGTTTGCTTTTGGAAGAACATCGCTTGCGTACTACGGGTGGTTTGAGCCAGGGTAACACTGGGTTCTCATACTTTGCAGGAGCTTTCCAAGGCTTTTTGAATGTAATATTTTTTTTTGGGGGGTTAGTGATTTTGTACCGTATGTCATGTTTTGTGTCTTGGGCTACGTGTGGGCCAAAAAAGTTTACTGTTCACATCACAGGAAGAGCTCTGATAAACAAATAAGCATCGAACAAGGAACCAACGCAATGCCGAAGTGTTTTCTTTGTGTGTGTTTCCCTGGCCCCAACGGCACGGATCCGGACCCTCGACTTTCTGAACCGGATCTTCTTCAGCCGGACCCGCGCCGCGCGACCGGGCGCCGGTGCGCGGCTGTCGTGCCATGGAGCCGTCGCTGCGCGTCGGGCGCTGGGCCGGATTTCTGGAGACGCTCAACGGCACGAGACGCGGCGCGTCGCGCACGTGCGACGGATGAGAGGGTTTTTTTGGGGGACAGATGAGACCAACCTGGAACCAGAGACAAGTGGTTGTTCCAATATGGCAATTGACATCATTAAAACTTGACATATAGGAAATGGCTGTCTGGGGGGGAAGCATCCATTTCTTTCCGGTTGCTTTGGGGTTCCAGGAAACTATGGGGGAGAGGTATGTTAAAGTAAACCAATAAAAGAAAGCAACAGAAGCCAACTACAGCAGAGAAGATCAACTCACCACATGGCACCATGCTCATTGAATCATCTGAAAGGTGAAATCAACTCACCTTTTGGGCACCCTTGATCTTCACATCTCCCGAACCGGCTTTGGTACCGACCCGGCCGGTTCTGGGCACCTTCGTCTATCCACCTGCCCCTCCACACTTCAACACCTGAGCACGTGTGCCTGGTCCGTTTCAAGGCTACCGGCGCGGCTGTCGCTGCCACAGGAGCTGCTGCGCTCGGGTTGGAAGTTGGAGCCACCCGCTCGAGTGGTCGCAGCTTGGACGTCGGAGGCGTTTTGGGGGCGTGGGTGGGGGGTTCCGCACCCGCAGTGAGAGGGTGTGAGGCCCTTGGGAGTGGTCGCCGCCGGCCTCGACCCAAAGCGACTGGGGCGTGTTCCGGAAAGAGGAGAGACACCGTGCAATTCGGTGGTGGTTGGGAGCAGGCAGATGTGGTGATTCTTTTTACTGTACTTTTCATCTCAGATGGCAATAGCCCAGAAAGATAACTGGGTTGTGAATCACGAACTGTAAACTCGTCCTTAAGTGCGCGCTTTTCTCATGCTAAATTCTTTTGTGTGCTATCCGGCTCACGATTGAGGTGGCCACGCGTGGAGGTCGCCAGCTGCCGCAGATTGACTTAGACCTGGATGATCTTTGGGATGCTGGGCCATCAGTTGCTTGGAGGCAAATCCCGGTTGCACCAAGGAGGTGCTCAAACATCTCTCTTTCAAACGCATGGATGGGGGTTTGCCGGGTTTGTCGTGGTTTGCCAGTGCTACTTGGTGGTCAGGGTTTTCGGGGTGTTGCAAACATCGGTTGCGGAAAAACCGCCCTCGAGCAGTGCTACATCAAGCTCTACTACAGGGTTCCCAGAAGTGACTTCGCTGGAAATCGCTGGACGTTTGCTTCATGGACATCGGCGGTGGACATTCGGATATGAGGTTGCCCGTATTTCGGTTTCTTCCCTTTTCACGCCTGATGGAGTGGGAGTCGGCCTGGCCTGAGGACCGTGGTTCGGGCTATGAGCACCACCCCCCGGAGCACGCGCATGAGCATGTGCATCATGTGCACCATCACCACGAGCACAACGTGGCGCATTTGGGTCACAGCCACGACGAGGCCAACCCGTACCACCGGGACCGCCAAGCTCGACGAGCGGAGGACGTCGACGGCCATGCGGTCCGTCGAAGCGCCCCCAAAATGGAAACTGCGTGGACGGACCAGGAGTGGCTTTTGGTTCCATCCAATGGATGTGACAGGGGCCATCCCGATCCGTTCGCGGAACGGCACCCCGAGCGACATGTGACTGATGTGGACTGCCTCCCTGTCCGCCCCGGCGTGCCTGGCTCACCCTATTTGGGCTCCTTGGACTCCACCTCCACTCAGAGCCCCACCTCCTGTGGAGGCGATGAGTGACCTGGGACTGGCGCTGATCTCTTCGGGCACCACCGTCTTGCTGGCGACCATCAGCGCCGTCCTCGCCATGCGCCTCTTCCGCGAGATGCTGCGGACGGACACGCCCGAGCAGCCGAACTCAGGAGGCTGCGTGGCTAGGGGTCTGGGGAGTCTGGGGTTGTTGGGGTAATGTAGACTCTTGATTCATAAACCCCCCATCTAGAATCTAATTATCGACGTTCTTTTTTTGGATTGGGTCAGGGTCACTCCACAATCTAGGCCCCTCTCCACAGGAACTCATATTTTTCTAGGATTTTGTTTCGTTTTTTTTTGGAATTTTTTTCGCGTTTAGGCATTAGGTATCTCTGTTGGCTTCTGGTGGCTTCTGGTAGCTTTTGCTAGCTTCTGTTGGCTTTTGCTGGCTTCCGGTGGCTTTTACTGGCTTTTGGTGGCTTTTGTTGGCTTCTGTTGGATTTTGGTGGCTTCTGGTGGCTTCTGGTGGCTTTTGGTGGCTTTTGGTGGCTTCTGGTGGCTATTTTGTTGGCTTCTGGTGGCTATTTTGTTGGCTTCTGGTGGCTTTTGGTGGCTTCTGGTAGCTTTTGCTAGCTTCTGTTAGCTTTTGCTGGCTTTTGTTGGCTTCTGGTGGCTTCTGGTAGCTTTTGCTAGCTTCTGGCGGCTTTTGCTGGCTTCTGGTGGCTTTTACTCGCTTTTGGTGGCTTTTGTTGGCTTCTGTGGGATTTTGGTGGCTTCTGGTGGCTTTTGTTGGCTTCTGGTGGCTTTTAGTGGCTTCTGGTGGCTATTTTGTTGGCTTCTGGTGGCTATTTTGTTGGCTTCTGGTGGCTTTTGGTGACTTGTGTTGACTTTCGAAGGCTTCTGTTGGCTTTTGTTGCTTTTTGCTTTTGTTGGCTTCTGGTGGACCAGAAAAAATTCCAAAAAAAAAACGGAAACAAATTCCTAAAAAAAAAACGCGGCCCTCTCCACATGACCCCCGCCCTGAAAAGACACTCAAGAATAGGTCCTTCTCTACATTCACGACCCCGCCCGCGAGGAGTCATTCAAATGGACATCCCTGGCTTGCGGCCCTTCGTGCCCTTCAGTGGCCACGGCCATCGGCTGAGTACCGAAGGCACCGAGGACGCTCGGCGTCCGGCGTCAGGGACGACGTGGGACGACCAGTCCCAGTCAGTGGATGTGGTGACAGGGGCACCCCCAAGCTCCATGTTAAGTAACTGAGTGTTTCTGTTTTTTTTTTTTGTCTTTTCATTGCTGCATTTATATAGTACTTCTAGTAGTACTTCTTTCTTCCTCCGGACGCGGGGTGTGCTACACGTGGACACGTGTGCTCTGTGGGGTCGCTGCACACTCCGCCCTCCCCCTTCCAGCTGGGGGCCAAGCTTCTTGGCCGGACAAGTTTAAAACATGTTTGAAGGACATACTTGTGGAGAAACGATCCATTTCCATCCATTTCCGGGTTCTTCTCCCTTCACTTCCTTTTGAGACAATGACCAGGTTAGAAAGATAAGACCCTCAAAGCCGGCATCGTCACGCCCAGCATAGCTATCCCATTTCGTAGCGTTGGGAGTTGGATCTCCGTTTTCCGGCATGATTGTGGGCGAGTGTTGGGATCGTTGTCCATGGGTTTCGTTTCAGGATTTTCAGGATCGCTATGGGTTCTTCCCGTCGCAACTGCTGGAGACTTTCCCCTTGTGTGGACCATAGCACTGATGGTTGGAATCCTGGGTTCTTGAGCGACAGCCGTCTCCAAGGAGGAGAAGAGTGATGCCGCACGCGCCAGCGGCAGCGCGCCAGCGGGGCAGTGAGCTGTTTCAGTGTCAGACATTTCGGTGCTCCACTCGTGCCCACGTAGCTGCTACACCTCCAGACGTCAAACCTCATGTCGGACTAAGAAGTCAAGCTCGAACTTCAGGGTCTTCTTTCCACGAACTTCACCTTGAAAACTGGACCCGTGAAAAGACAGCCTCTTCTAAGGTGTGGCCTCTCCACCAAAACGATATGAAAAGGTTTGTTGGGCCTTCCTTGCACGGGTTGAGAGAAACACTGTCACCGTCTTCTACGCATTTGATACAGTAAACGTTACAGTAGAAACCGACCGCTGAAGCCTGCCCCCACCGGGTCCACCGAGGGGAGGCCGTGTACACCGGAGGACCACGGCGCAACGCCGGGTTTCGACGGGTGTCCACGGCTTCGACGTTCTGAGACGGGCGTTCCGGTGGTTGAAAAGGCGCCTGGTCTTGGGTCTTGGGTGAAAAGGCAACATGAAAGGGATGTGTTGGTCTAGAATGTTCTAGACACTTCTCCTTGCAGTTGGGAGACACTGCTGCACTGCTGGGGCGGCTGGGTCAGATGTGCTTAGAATTTAAGCACTTCCTCTCACAAACAGGTGGAAGCCACCTGCTGGCACCCCATGGTGCGACCGCGTTGGCAATTCATGTCCCTCACCAACCTGTGTCGACCCACACTCCGCACGGGCGGGGGGGGGAGTCTCAAAGTGGACCACCCTCCGCACCAAGTGTGCCAAGCGCGACCGACGACGAGAACAAAACGGAGCAGTCCGCAACGGTGGCACGTCCGATCCGCGGAGCAATCCCCGGTGGACACCGCGCGGGAGCCAGGGAGAGTTCAAAGGGAGTTTGGGTGAGCCGAGCCATGCGGTTTAAACGAGGAAGGTGGGAGACGAGACTTGTGTGCCACCTGCGCCTGGTTTTCAGCATGCGCCTGCGAAAACCAACAACGCGGGTCATTTTTGTGTGGATCAGCCACTTTTGACTGGAAAGCTGAAAGATCCAGGTGACCGGTGCAGGGCTTCAACTCCCTCTGAGCAGTGTGGGTGCCCCCCGTTGCCGGTGGTGCCATTTCGAGGTGCTCCCCAGCCACGCCGACTTCTCGCGCCTCGGCGAGCAGTCTTTGCTGCGGCCGGGTGGTGGGATGGAAGGCGGAACTGAGGATGTTCTGATTGTTTGGGGGAAGGTCCTGGGAAGCTTGCCTGGATTATGATTTTGCACACCAAGAGTTGCAAACGGGGGGTTTTAGTCCCCAAAGTGAGGGGATGATGGGCGCCCCTATCTTGCTAAGCTCGGCACCCCATTCACTTCTACCACCCCATTGTCCTGCATGACCCCTTCACCTCGATCCCAAGACCCCTGTTTTTTCGGATGGGCAGTGCCTCAGAGGAGCCCCGGAATCCCATCGATTCTGGCAAAAATGGTCTGTCCCTCTGTAGATGCACCCACTCCTGGCCCCCCCGTACCTGCTTCTCATGCTTCTCCACCTGCCAAAGATTGGCTCGATTTCACCGAGAAAGCTCTGGCACTTCTGAAGTGCCTTCGACACCAGATCGTCGGACCAACCACCTGGCGACCGGATCCTCAGCATCACTGTATGTCCTTTCGGCCCTGGACGCGGTAAGAAGCCACGCCCAAAACCACGGCCGACGCCACGACCGACGCCCTCCAGGCCCGACGAGGGTCTCTTCCCCCGCGTGCGGTCGCTGGACCGGGCGATAGACCGTCGAGACACCGGGTCCAGGCCGGCGTGAAGGAGCCGCGGGGCCGCTGGGAACGTCAAAGGAAATGGAAAGGGTTGAAGAAGAGCCCAGGGCACGAAGGGTGCGAAGGTTGGGTGCCCAAATCCGTGAACGACTGCTTGGAGAGTGATTTGTGAGTCTCTGAGCGCTCACATGGAAGTGGGCCCATGACACCCTGTGGTGATGGATGGTGACCAGAATAGCTCAGCTTCAAGAAACCTTACAGCGACACCGTTCCTGGCCTGGCTGGTTGGAAGTGGAAGTGGCACTGAATGTTGTTTCAACAAAAACTGTCTCCCCACCTTACCCAAATGTCCTCCCACCGTCTCGCGCGCACCCGCTAAGAAGGTTTGGGCTCCAAGGGCACCGGAGGATCTTCGCGAAACTCGCCGCGCTGCGATGAAGCTGCTGACCTGGGCGGTGTTGGTGGCCCCGGCCTGGGGTGCCGAGGCGCCCTGCGCCAAGACAGGGGTGGCCTATGAAGCGGCCAGCGTACCGATTTCTCGGCTGCAGCGGGGGTACGGGTGAGGGGCGGTTGGGGGGGTCCCAGCCGCAGGTCTCCGACCGGATTTGGGACGGATGGATGAAATACCAGGGCCACCCTGCTTGGGGTGCCTATGTCACTAGTCACTAGCCCAGCCAATTCCTATGTCATTAGCCCTCACTCTAACACATGTGCGTTAAACCATCATCATCGGGGCACCCTTCTTCAACTGCTTCACGGCGGTCGCCCGTTCACCGCCACGGCAGTCGCCCGTTCACGGGATGCGCCTCCTTGGGAGGTCGACCTGGACGTTGGAAGGACCTGGACGTACCCTCCCCGCAACAAACGTGGTTTCGTGGAGTGTAGAGGAAAACAGTCTTCCATGGGGCCGAGCTGTTCCACTTCCATCATTGTTTCAGGGTGTTCTTTTTTCCCTCTCCAGGTCCCCAACGAGGTGAGTGCTTGGCCTTTTGGGGAGCTCAGGAATGCTGGCTACGTGGCGGACGCGCTGGCATGCCAGCAGAGTTGCCAAACGTCTTTGACGTGCCAGTCCTACACCTGGCCGCTGGGCATGGCGCACGTTTCGCACGGCGTTTTTTGCCACAAAAGGGGGGTGCCAGCAATAGAATAGAACAGATCCTGGAACACCCCTTTGTGATGTTGTTGAAGAACTTCGGAGGGTCAGACCGCTTGATCGAGGACAGAGCATGTCACGAGAAATCTCCTCAGACTTTGGCAAGGGTTCAGTGACTGCCTCTTTCTTCTCTCTCTCTCTCTCTGTCTGTCTCTGTGGAACCCATGAATGTGAGAAACAACTCATTACTCAATCCAACCTAAGAGCGATGGCCCCCAACCTACTGTCAAAAGTCTTGGAAACTCGTGATCGAAGCCCGGGACAGCGCCCTTTTTGATCGTCTTCCGGATTTTCAGTTGGAGCAGGCTGCCCTGTCGTTTGGGCCGGCAGAGTACGGCTCTGCTGTTCACTGAGCAGTCACAAAGAGACCTCAAGATCCGGCCTCCAACAGAGACACCTTATGACACCTGCTCCGATCGCGGCTGATGGGGCCTCCCGCGATCCATACTTCGCGCCGTTCGGACCCCCCAAAGCGATCCGTCCGAAACGGAAGACGCGCCCAGGAAAGGGGACTCCACTCCTAAAGGCTGAAGCGGCGCGTGTTCCGACGCAGGGTGAGGTCTTGTTTTTGAAGCTCTAGGTGGTCATTGGGCAGTCCAGTCAGACGGCTCATTGGCACACTATTTTAATTTATATTCACTGAACTGGTGGTGACTTGTTAGTGGTGGATGGTGACGTTGCTGGTGGTTTCCATGCGTCGAAGCGGAAGTTCTGTGTGAAGATGGTGGGTGGAGGTGGCCCACCGAATGGCCATGACTCTCGAAACACCAAGCGACCCGCGACCCAGCAGCTTTCCATGGCTTTGCGGCGCAACGGCTTTTCGGATGATTTCCGGACCTCTGTGACCCAGGATTCATTTTTTCAGGGATATCTGGGGTTCGAGTTTCACCACGGTGCTGCTGGCGAGCTTCACCCGACGTCCGTCGGTCCCCTGGACACGCGGACGATGGCCATCCGAAATGCCCAGGTGAGGAGATGTTAGGATGACAGGATGGTCACCTTCATGGTGAAGATAAACAGGGGTGAAACACCCACAGACTCCAGAAACCCCCCAGTTCCACCGGACGCGAGCCGAATCCGCAGCCCGTCCGGACCGTTCGGAGCCCCGTCGCGGCAGGCGGCTGTTGGCACTTCACCGCCGTGGGCAAAGAGCTGAGTGCGCCTGGGGAGCCTTGGCCCGTTGTCACGCTGGTGACGGAGGGGGGCTGGACCAGTGACTGGTGGGATCTTGTGGGGTTCGTCAGGAGGAGGTGGACTGAGAGAAGCGTTTCGAAGAGAACCGTGCGGCCAAAACGTGCGGATCTATGGATCGATTGTGCCCGTTTCGTTTTCCCGCCAGTTGGGACAGTTTTTCAGCTGGTCAGTCAGTGGGGAACAAGGTTTAAAGGCCTCGAGAGTAGCCTTGAGGGAATTGATCGTCTATGATGGTACAGATTGGCCCTGGCCCATCATTAAGGGGAACAAGAGGACCCTGCCTGGCTGTGAAGCCATGAAGATACCACCTCCAGGGTCTTGACCTTCTTCAGTGCAGTTGAAGTCACGGTTCCTTCTAATGTAGACGAGCTTTCCTGACATCCCCCCTGCCAGAATGGTTTTACATCTCCATGGCTGGGGGGGTTGTTTTATTCGTCAGCCGTCTGCACGAAAAAAACAGGTCATGGTCGTCCTTGGCCTGAGCAGATGCAAAAAGCACTGGGCACTGGGTTTATTTCTTGCAATCGGATCAATAGGGAGAAGAGGAAAGCTAGGTCAAAAGCCATTGGTTAGTTGGGGCACACCCGTGTTTAAGATGCACACCCATTGTGCAAGATATTCCTCTCTAAAATGGTTTCGAACCGATGAGATCTCCACCTACCGGCACCACCACGGGAAGGGTGCCTCCCCCCAACAGCTGCGAGGCCGTCAGTGGCCCTAAGACCTGCGCGCTGGAGGTGGCGTCCGCAGCGGCGTCCGCAGCAGGTGGGGTGTGCGGCTGGAGGATTTGGGGATCCAGCCAGATCGGGTGGAGGAGAGGAAGATGGGGGAAGTCTCGCGATGCTGAAGAAAAGTCTTGGATGGCGCCCAATTGTAGTTCAATATATGGTGTCTTTCTGTTGGATCGGTTTCTGTGACAAGCCGCCTCAGCGGATCGGTCCCGGAAAGCCAGGTGAGACGGGCGAAGCCAAGCTGAACAGCATCTCCGATGCGGTCACCGCTGGCGTGAACGGTGCCGTGGCCGCTCGGCCGGAGCGACGGCGCCGCGCCAGAGCGAGCGAGCGAGCGAACGCGAGGGCGGCGAGAGGCGCTGGCGGGCCGCTGTGGAAGGAGGGGGTTTTGCGGGGCGGTCCAAAGGCTGACATCTCCAAATACAAGAATGAAGAAGCACGACCTTGGAAGTGGTGAAGGTGCACAACCGGCAGGTTTTGCCCTGGATTTGGATCTGACTGGGAGCCATCCACGGTTCAAGGTCTGACTGGGGCCGCTGAAACGAACAGTTCTCAAGGTCTCAGCTACTTGGTACGCCACGGTGGTCTTCCGTCGCAGAGCACACACTCGTCAGTCCGGGTGGTGAAAGGCCCGTGCTTTTTGCTTGCAGGATGGTCTACTTGCCTACTTCTTGTTATGTGAAACATTCTCAGTGAGTTTGCCCCATGTCGTGACCACTCTAAATGACTTCTACGGCCTTTGTGTTCAAGAATGTTCTATATAACTTTGATTTCCGTATTCCCAGACCCAGACCGTCCATGTATTCATGTAAGAAATTGGTGCCACCCCATGGACTATTATACATAACCACCCAAAATGTAGGCAAAGCTGCCTTTCGTCCGGACGGTGGTTGGGCCGTCCTCGTCGGCGCTGAGGACAACATGGCCAACGGTGCCAGTAGCGTGGCCCAGCAGGGCAGCGATGCCGTGGCGGGCGTCGGCAGCGCGGTGAACAGCGCGGCCAACGGCGCGGCCGACGCCGCAGCGTCGGGGACGGAGAAAGTGGCTTGGAGGAGCATCAAGAGGGACAGCTCTTTATGAGACGCTCGGGCATCGGGCCTCTACGGTTAGGTTAGATGGATGGATGGATGGATAGATGGATAGATGGATAGATGGATGGATAGACACTTGGCTTGCAAGCCCAGAAAGCCCCAGGTTGGAATTCACGGCTATCGAAAACTAAAAAGCCCGGTCAATGCATCACAATTCTCAAAGTGATAGTCTTGTGAAGCATCGCCTCTTCGCCTTTGACACTTGCAGAGGACTGTCGAAGGTTTTCGGTAGATGTTTGGATGACTGACCTGGTCAATCCCTGGACCCTGCCCCCCTGCTTCACCTCTCAGGTGGCCTCTGCCTTCACCTCCGCCAGCGACGCCGTCACCGGCGCCGCGGCCGGTGCCACCGCGGGCGTCTCCAACGGCGTGGCGGGCGTGGCCTCCGCCGCCGGCGACGTGGCGGCGGACCCCTTCGCGATCCTGACGACCGGGGCGCCCGTGGCCAGCACGACCAAGTTTGAGCCTTGGACGGGCGGGGAGGCGGTCGAAGAGGCGGGAGGAGACCCGGTCGGTTGAGGCTGAGTTGGACTTCTGGCGGACAGCGTGAGGGCCATAAAAGTCGAAGTCCATCAACCGAACCCTCAAGGCATCTCAAACAGTCACACAGTCTTCTTGCTCCAAGATTGTGATCCATCCGCAGGTAGGTTTTGAGCTTCGCAGGGTGCGCCCTTTGATATCTTGGCATTGTCCGAGTTCCATCGAATTCCCAATGACGAGCTGACCAACTGAACCTTGGGAAAAGGGAGTGCAGGAATTCTTGGAAATGATGCCGGCTAATGTAGCCAACGGGCCCACCTTGCCAAGAGAGTGTTGTTTTCCTCACGAGCATTCATACTTGATGAAGCGGCTCCTGAAGCCGCATGGG